ACAACCTACACCCCCAAAATGATGTACCTTTTAGCATACTTAACATTGCCAATACTGCATGGCACCCCACAGTACACTTCCCATTTCCCTGACCTTTGCTACTGATTTGACAGAGAGCAGCAGGGCCACACAACAGGGAGCCTTTCAGCCAATCATCAGAAAAGGGCAGGGGGAGTGGCCGCCATCTTTGTTGCTCCCCTTCCCACCAGTAGCTCCCTCCATCACTCCTGACAGGCTAAAACACTGGGCCAGAGCATCTGTGGGGGTCATTGACCCCCGCTAGGGATCCAGAATTTTATTTTTAGTAAGTTCCCCCCCCCGGTGATTTCATGCCAAAATGATCGGGCTGCCATTTTTGCAAGGTTTGTGGAAACTGCTTTTTACAATTTCCTTGAAAAATATGGAATCGCAAATAATATAGATCCCTAGTAATAACACCTGGTTGACTGTGTTCTCTATTATACAGAAAGTAGGGTCTACATAATTCACCTTAGTTTACTGTTTGGCTCATCTGATTTATTCCTCTTCAAATCAATGGAAGTTTTGTTCTTTACTAGAGCACAAACACAATGCACAATGCTTTGACACTTCTTAACAATGGCACATCAAACACAACAGAGAATTAAATGTTTAGTATTTGTCACTTCTCTTGAAAGGCTTTTAACTACCACACCACCCTCCCCCACAACTTTTACCTATAGTCTACCTGAACTTTTCATTTTGTTCACATCTATAGCTTTTGAACAAAGCATTGCAAGGAAATACTTTTCTAGATTATGTATGTGTACATTTCTTTTGTTATCCATCACATACTCTCTCTCACAGGCACCGCCTCTTAAACTTTTGTCCCCCCCCCCAAAAGAACAGTGATAATTGCTGCCTTTGCTGTCTTGCTGAGTGCTTTTTTTGGCTTGCCTTTTCCACCTCCGAGCTCTTATCCCCTCTCCCCCCCCATCCCCACCCCCCGGCCCCCATAGCAAACTATGAAAAAAATCAGAAGACTGACAAATGGCAGGCTAAGGTCCCATCTACACATTACTCTTAAAATGAAATTAACCAGTTAATCACATCTTAAGTGGACACCCAGCCACATGTTCAGTCAGTTAATGGTGTAATAAAAGAAGGAGTAAGACAAAGTTATTTCACGTTATGTGAAATAACTTTGTATCTCATTCCTATCACACCATTAAATGTATGGCCAGAGAATCCTGTGGCTGAGAGCGTTGATCAGCTGACAGCACTCCCAGCCACAAGGAGCTGATCAAAGCTGATCAAGGCTCCACCTGCCACCACCCAGGGATGGACTTGACTCTGGCTCTGCGCCCCCTGGGAAATACACGTCTAGTAGTCCTTGAGTGTACTCAACTCGCTTCAAAAACTTGGGGTGCTTCCCTCAGTCAGAAGCACATATAGTGGTCTCCCTTAGTCAGCCGAACCAAGGGGACCCCAAGGCATAATCTAGACCCACTCCCAGTAAGTCTCCCATGCTAGGTACAGAGTAGAACTTTATTGGTTACAAGGAGTAGGGTTGGAATAGGGTACAGAGTTGAGTAGTATCAGAGAAATCCCATAGAGCAAACAGGGTGGCTGGGGTAGCCTTTGATCACGCATCTGAGTTACTGTAAGCTATATATCTAGTTAGATCTCAGGTAGCTTATTCACAAGTATCATCCAGAGGCAGGTGGAGATTCCCTCTGGAGGCAGGCAGTTCCTTGATCATGAGTTTTGAGAGAGAGAGCAAGTTTCAGATGGTCCAGCTCCTCATTCTCTCTGAGTTTTCCTCATGGCTGCTGCTCCCTCCTGGGCAGTCCTTAACTTATATAGCCCTTATGACCTCATTTACCTGGTCCAATGAAGGCCAGCACCTGTTGGCTGTCAGCCAACCAATTTGAAATGCATCACTGGTTGCTGGGCAGACTGGCAGTCTCTAGCCCACCAGGGTGCCCAAGCCCCTCACCCAAGTATGTGATGCCAGTCACGCAGGCAGAGGGAACAGGTTTCCCCCCCTCCCTCAGGAATATATCCAGGTCAGGTTATCTAAAGAGGTAGGGTAAGGTGTGTATCCTCTGCTGGGCCCATCCTAACCAAATTGTCACAGAGTTTTTGGGGAGAAACAGAGGTGGCCTTCTGCCACACCTTCATATTAACTCAGATGCATCTTCAACAGTTTCTGGTACTCCTTTCTTTAAGTCGGAAGAAGTTGGTGACAGACAAATTTTAAAACTGAGTGATGTAAGAAGTCAGAAGAGAAAGTAAGACTCACTTAATTTAAGCCAAGGGATCTACATTTCTAGAACAAGTTCTTAATGTGAACCAACCCCCCTGCATGTTATATTCAGTTCATACTTTGCCAGAAGTTTCTCTCATCCTTCCATCCAGAGCCAAAATGTAATTTAGACAATCATGTAAGCAATATATTGGAACATTGTTAAGACTTAACCTTCTCTTTATAAGAACCCAGAGCAGAGGGAGAATCTGGCTAAGAAGTTTTAAAGCCAGGTAGCAAGTGAAGCTGAAGGTCTTAATTAACATCAGAATATTTGGACTGTATGGCCTACAAATTAACTTCTAAATATATTGCAATGGGGAAGCAGGAGGAAAACATGCTGTTGTTTCCATACTATTAAAATTGGGAAGTGTGTTGTAAGACTATCTGAATTAACACTCAAATAATTGCTATTGTACAGCTCACCCAAATGCTGTGACATCTACATTGATGGACTAGAGAGATGCTTTCTGAATTAAAGAAAGGATATGTGGTACAGTAAAACTGCAACTCATCCAAAAATGAATCCAGATAACTTATTTCCACCCTGCAAGCTGTCACATGCTTAGTCAGTCTTTTAAAAATATTGTTTTCTTAATATTTGGTTTTGGTTTTGTTTCTCAGATTTTGAAAGTAAAAACATAAAACCATTTCCTTGGTGTCAAATTGCTACATCTAACCTGGAAAGGCATTATAAAAATAACAATTAACATGTGTGTGCCTGATAGGACAGTAGTGAAAAGGCAACAATTTTGTTTCCTTGTTTTATGTGAATGATAAATTTATTGCCCTGTTCTAAACATGCTATCCTCAATTATTCTAATATTTATGATTTTAACCACTATAGGTTAGAACAAACCATGATCATATCTGACAGATTATGTATTTACAATAAAATACATAAAGCCAGAAACAAACTTTAAGTAAATATTCAACCATTTTATTTCTGTGTCAGTTTAGAAATATTCATTCAAGAAATGCAAATTATAACTTTTGGTACAGATCCATGTAGTGTGTATGCCATCATTTATTGTGGGCTAGTTCTGATAAAAACAAAGTACTGTATATTACAATGTGAGGTATTCCAGGGCCATTAACAACTTGGTTGAAATATTAACTTAACCCTTTTTATATGGAATTTTATCTTAACTTCTCTTTTAGCAACTATGATGATACAATAAAGTTTTAAATTAAAAATTTTAAATGGTACTATTGTAGGACCCACCTACATGATGTTATGTTTAAGCAGCATCCATACATTTTACATTATCACTATATAATATGATTTAAAAGCATTATGAGACAGAGACCAAAAGGGAATCAATCAGAGCAAAGAATTACTTCCAGCCATGGTAGAATATTACTTGATCTCTTACTACACTAAGCAGGTGGCTGACTTCTTACCAAAAAGGGACCAAATTATTATAATCAAGCTGAGATGATCCCATATTTAAGAACACAGAATAAGCATGGTCAAACAGACAGCATAGTAAGGCCTGGTTTTACTCACAAATACCAATGCACATATAAATAAGTACTACAAAAGAACCTATAGTTACTAGCTGGTCTTTGCAAAATATGAAAACATAGAAAGCTCAATCAAGGGCTTATTTCTGCCCATTTAAAGGAAAACACCTCTTTGGGCTAGACTGTGACTCTAGGCCACTCTGTACAAGTGGTGTGAAAACTGCTACAGCTCAAGTAAGTACTGGAAGATGCTGCAACTCAAATATCCAGTTACAACTCCTTGCATCATACCTCCTAGCAAGCAATACTCCGTTGGTACAAGCCAATAGTATGGTCTTGATCCTGTGAGGTGCTATGTATCCTAGTGCTGATGCAACCAAATGCTTACAGATGCAATCGATTTGAAAAACAAATTAGTCCGACTCAGCACTACAAACTGGCCGCATCTACATGAGACGCTGACTGCACAGTAGCCTGTGACTACTGTGCAGTAACGTCGCATAACAGAAAGCGTGATGCAATGCTACTGTGCAGTAGTCTTGGGCTACTGTGCAGACAGTGTCACAAAAAAGCCATTTGGAGGAGCTACTGTGCAGTAACTCCAGTTACTAGTCATTTAGTACTTGTATAAACTTGGTGTATAAACTTTAGTACTTGTATAAACTGCGCAGTAATGCAGTCAGCATCTTGTGTAGACGCAGCCAGTATGACCAGTAAGTAGGGGGACTGCAGCTGCAGGATTTGCTCATCCTCTCTTTGCCTACACCTGGGAGAAATCAAACAGGTGAAAATCCTCACTTACTCCCACATAGGTACCTTCTGTAGGAAGGTAAGGGAAATCATTGCCCTCTTCCCATTTCTTATGTGGGCATGCAGTCTGACCAGAAATCAAGCCCTATGTGAGGAAAGGTGGTAGAATCAATCCTAAAATAAACAGTCTTATTTTCATGAGGAAAGGTTTGTGCTATCCTAATCTGAATCTTAAAAAATAAATAAATAAAAATCTTTCCCACAGTATTATTTAAACACCTTCTGTCCTACCTTTAGGAGACATCACACTTGAAAATATTAATTGTGGCTATTGGTAGAGTTATATTTAACCCATACTCTTTAATTAATACTAAAAGAAAAGATGCCTTTTTTATTAAATCTCAAGTAGTTCTACAGCCAGAAGGAAACCAATTATAAAGAATTTCCTGCAACATACCATTAGAGCATGGTTAAAGAGCTGATTTTTATTCTTCAATGAAATTTGCAATTAATCAAGTTCACAATACTTCTGTCCTCCTTTATTCGTATGCATTCATTCTGTTCTGTAGAATACAGCAGTTAATCCATTTATGTTCCAAATTTAGAATAAATTTACTTTTTATGCAGAATTCTGAGAATGTCTATCCAAGTAAAATTAAATCAGCAGCAGCAGCGAGTTTTGGAAAAAGGATAACAACTGGTTAAAGCAATTAGAAATATTACCCATACCAAATGACTAGCCATGACTAGTATACTTTGCCAAACAATTTACAAAAATACAAATAACTATAAGCTTATCTTAATTATTTTGTACATATACACTTAAAGGGAGCTTTTGACATATATGCATGTTATTAAAAAATTAACAACCTTAAAGGAAAAAAGTAACACTCCTGATAGGCAAATGAACTCATTCTTTTAAATGAATAAAAATGGAAATAAAGGAAAGATGTTTTTACCAAGATAAAAGATTTTGCATAAGAGTGGTCTGCATTATAGTAAATAAACTTAGACTTGAAAAAGATGTAAATTTAAATGAAAATGTTATTCCTTGAAAAGAGATGTGAAATTTGCCTACTGGGACTAAAATAACTTTATTAAATGCTGCTTCTCTACCACCCTAAAAAGCTTCTGAGAAGGTTACAGGTTCATAAGACAGAAGTTTGCAACTATTTATGGTGCCACTGTTTGCTACTGGAGTAACATTTTGTTTTATGTGACTTGGGCAAAACCTTTTCAATCCTGGATTGGACTGAAGGGTTTTTTCTCTATCACACTGCTGTACTGAAGTGTTCAAAATCTCCTAAAATTTCCAAAACCATGTAATATTATCAGAATGTGCCCTGATTGAATGCAGACCTAAACTCCTAATATGTATGTGGTCAATATGTAGTCACAGACTGTTCAGAAGTGGGGTTTACAGTGGGAAGGAATTCACCTTTAAGGGCTATTCTCACACAATCGACAATAAAAGCCATCAACCAAATTTAGGAGTGCCTGAAAACTGGTAATCTTTTTCATACCGTAAATTGATCAACTTATTTTTACCAACAAAATCAATTTTGTGTATTTGCCAAGTAACTTAGCAAACAGACAAACAAACAAGAGGCTGCTTATACAGAGCTAAACACGGAATGCTGAACAAGTTTGAAAAAGAAGAATTTAGCATGCACCTTGAACATTACAAACTAAAACCAAAGACAAGAGTTAATTGTTAAAAATTATACAAGGGAATATTATCTTTCTAAAAAGAGATACAGAAATAATTACACTGATTTATTAATCACCAATATTCACAATTCTCATATTTGAATTAAACTGGTTTAAATTTTCAGAAAAATGTCAGAATAGTCGAGAACATATTTTATTCTTCAATAAAATACTACTGTCAAAGATTTTAACTGTTGTTCCATACAGATTTGTGTCTGTTTTCTTGTGCTTCATGGAAATATAACCTTGTGTTCCATATTCCCTGCTAGAAGGGTTACAGTTATCAAATAACCATATAAATTTTATCTTTTTCCCTTGTAATTCAATATGGAAGTGCTACAACTACTGGAACATGATGTACTCAGATTGAATAATCCACATGAGAACTAATTATAATAATCTAAGTACTGATCTGGATTTTTTAACCAGATATATTCACACACTCACCTGTGTGCGTGTGTGTATACACACACGCATGTACACGGCATATGCACTTTGAATAAACTATATGGAAACAGTCTGAAAAAAAAAAAAAGATGGAAATCAAGGAATGAGGCAGCTTGATGCCTTTCTATTTTTGAGTTTTTAAACACCACCATTGAAAAAATCCGATGCTGTTTGTTGTCCCCAGAACTAGGCTGAGTTGCTTTACTTCTTGTACATAATACCCTTTAACAGGTCACTCTCACACCTGTTCCCCCAGATTGAACATTTCAAGTCATGCTTCTGCAGTCTTGAATTCCTCAGCAGTTTTGTTTATTTATGTGCAGTCTTCTCTAGATCTGGGAGTTTTTCAATCAGTGCCTTATGGTCCATATTGATACTGGCAATGAGTCCACCCTCATTACCATCTGAACCGGTGTAACTGATTTCTTCTCCAGCCAGAGTAGTCATATGACCACCTAATGCTTTCAACACAGCATTTCCAGCACATATGTCCCACTTCTTAATATATGTCACATGAATATACACATCAGCTTTTTCTTGTTTCTCGTCAGGCACATCAAGGAGAGCTAGAACTTTATAACCTAAAAAGGATTATAAATGGAGCATCAGTTAATTAAAAATATCATACTTGCCATTTCATCATAAGTAATGACATTTTCACTATATGTAATTACTTATCAGAATAAAAAGATATGAAAAGAAGACTAACTGGATCATCTGAAGTTCAACTGAAAAATTTCACCTTTGGTTTTCCTTCCTGCAAGATGCCAAAGTCTAGATTTCCCATTCTCTCACATTTAAGAGAGCAAACCCATTTTTGAACATATTTCCTTTGGACCTTCTCTATTGGTATGCCACTCACAGACATATCCACAAAACAGAATTGGACCATGTATGAATAAATCTCTGCCCTCAGGGTTATTTGTACAATTTTATAACTGATCGCTCTTTTAAAAATCCCAAATCCACCTTTTTCTCCTTCATCCATTTAATTTTAAGAAAGATCATGTATCTATATTTATATATTTAAATAAAACAATTTTTAAAAGAAGCAAGGCAGCCCAGAGATTTTTCACAAATACATTTCCCATTAAAAATAGTCTCTAGATGAAATCAGAATGCCTTCATTATATAGACAGACTTCATTCTTTTACAAAACTCCCTTCTAGCTCATTTCACAGTTCAGCTAATCCACTTTATTCATATTAAATGTTCCCCTTTTTATGCAGACCAATTTAGTGTAATATCTACTTTATCAATTTCATTTCTTCCAATAACCCAATTTAAATTAATTCTTGTACCCAGGATAGCTCATCAATATAGAGTGACTGCATCCTATTTGAAGGATGCAGCTATTGATATTAAACCAATCTGTATTTTGCAGCAGCCTGTAGTTACTGCTTCAAACTTGTGCTTCTCCATCTCCTTTATTGAGGTGCTCTCTCTATATATACCAGGTACAATCACTCCAAGAAATCTGGAAATAACTATCAGCCTTTTAACATAACAACTAGTTTTGATCTTATTCCCTCAATGCTCAAGGCACTGTCTCCAGCACTTCCTTTTCCTTTCATGGTACACTGAATGGTTGGGGACATTATTTTTATTTCCACCCAACCAATACTCTTGACAGAATCAGTTAAGGGTCTTACAGCTGAACACTCTATATGCATGGTATCCAGGGCTTCTACTGCCAACTGTTTGGCTCTTAGTCCCTTCTCCAGTTTGATAATCGTCTCCTTCTCTGAGCAATAAAGTGGATGGGGTACTTAAGGTTAACAAACCTGCTCCGCCAGCGGGGATGATCGTAGTTTTATTTCCAAATGTCTGCCGAGCAACCTGGTTTACTTTTCCAGCGTGAGAGCGGGATACGATAATCCTTGGAGTTCTCTCATTGTAGGAGGAACGAGCTTTTACATTTGACCCTCCATCCACCATCGCCCAGACTACAAAAGGAAGTATGTTCTGTTAACAGACTTTGAAGATATCAACCTCAGGGACAATATTAGACACACTCCAACTTACAAAATGAGAACTACACTTCCTCCTATGGTTTTTTTTTTTATTAGATTTATTTTCTAGCAGAAAAATGCCTAGACTAGAGAATTCAGAGAAAAAAAATCTCTCCACTTTACTTAAGGCACTTCACATCATGTTGTGTCTTATTAATTTTATTCTGTGTGCATCTTTTACGGGGGAAGAACAGGGGAAGCTTCCATTTTTACATCACTGGTTCTATTCAAATACCATATCTGAAGATTTGACAGCTTTACAAATCCAATTACTATGGTTACAGATTTTCAGATCTATGCTGATTAAAATATTTTCTTTAAAAAAACCCCAAAAAACAAAAAACCCAACCCCACACCCAGCAGTTAGATAAAAAGGTGATACACTTTTGAAAGAACCAGGCTACTTCAGTGTGAAAATAAGGTACTAATGATATACATCAGGAATTCAATTAGCATTTTAGAGAGTAATATATTTAGAAGAAAATGACAAATTTGAATACTTAATGAGTATAAAAACCCAATTCATTTGAATTTGCTTTGTTCTCATAGTTGGAGCTACTGCATAATTTCTGTTGACTCAAGAGGTCAGTGTTGCCTAAGGGAAAAAAGGAAACTATGTTATGTTTCTTTTTTGAGAGGGAATACATAGTACACATTTCCTTCAAATATATTCAGCTTCTTCCTTGTTTGAGCCTTTCGTAAGTTAGTGGCAACACCCCCAAGACCTCAAGGTGTATGCTTAAGCTCATATCCATCCTCACCTTCAACAAAAAGGCAAAAAAAAATGTATATATATACTGAGTATTTTGAACAGGGATTGTTCCCAAGAATTTTTTGTTCCAACCAATCTTGAGTGACAGATACATCAGCAATCACTGCGAAGATCTTGATTCTGTCATCAGCACTCAAGATGAATAAATATTTACTCTTGGAAGCAGTGCCATGGATTTCATGGATTACTTGTATGAACAAGGGGTTTTTAGAGGAAGGTGACACAGATCGATGCTAAATGAACTTTGTCAACAAATTCATTTTCAGTTTTGTTACTTCAATGTACCATTCTTCAAACCAAAAGAGGACATGTTCTGTGTTTTTAAACACAATGAACATGATAATGGCCCTAATCTTGAAAACTTTGAACACAAAGTAATTTTTGCTACCAGGTGTTATTTTACCATTTAACTCCAGTCTTCCTTACATGTACAGTTAATTTAAGCTTGACATCAGTGAAAGCAGCAGGAGGGAGGGAGGAAAGGAGAGGAAGGAACACCAATACCTGTATATGATGAGAATGGCTTGTGTATTACTCCTATCACTGGCTTTCCATTTACAGCCACACAAACCATAGTTGTAACATAGTGCCGAAGATCCTCTAGGGGAGGGAAAAAAAAAATCATAGATGTGAATTAACCCAATATTACATAGATTAAAAAGTAGAAAGAGAAAGCAGACCTTATGTTTACTGAAATACATAAAATAACATGATAGGCTAGAGAAGCTGTAGTAAATGAATACTCTGTACCACAACCTTGATTGTATTGTGATTTCATTCTGCAAGGGTGAGAATGCATTCTCAATATGGTCTTTTAAAGAGGCACTATGTTCTTCCATCTCTATGGTATACCAAATTTACCAAGAGACTATTTCCCAGTTCTTCCTTCAGTCTTATTGTTTACAAGATATGCACTAAACTCCTATGGAATTCAAATCTAATACCCCTGTATCTACAATGTGGACTTCCACAAACAATGTTAAATCGGGCTCACAGAATAAATTCCCCTCAGTAACCTTCTGACTATTTTCTAACTGAATGTTCTTTCCAGGTTTTGAAGGCTGTGTGTATTTTAAACTGTTCATGCAGTATTTTGAGTCTGTGAAGAAGGGGCAAGGATTGTGAAACTGTGATGTATTTTTATTTTATGACCATTTCTTAAATCTAGCTTAGGCACAAGTAAGATAACTCAACTAATGGGATAAATCAGAATGCAAAATATTGTGTTTTGAATAATTTAGCATTGTTGTAGTGTCAATTTAAATAGAATAAATGTGTCACCTGCACTCATAAAAAATGTTTTAGCATCAGTCACATGTAAATGTCAAATCTATTTCAGGTTTGGGGCAAACAGATCTGGCCAAAATATCGTTTTTAAGAGTAGCTCACCTTGCAAAAACTTTGCCAAGAAAAATCTTAGGATATAAACAAATGCACTTTTTAACCATTTTAAAAGGGAAAGAAAAGCTGCCAGTTGGGGATGCACATCAACTGTTATGTATCATATCTGCATATTCCTGTGGTGGTACCTGCTTGCTAAATTGTTGTAATTTTAACCTTTATTGAAAAGATTAAAGCTACAATGGTTCTGCTATACCTGCTCTGCACTGTTATTGAAGATGTTAGTTTCTAAGCATACTGTGGTATCGTCTGATACCAATACTGTTAAATCTGTTTATGCCCCTAAATAAGAAATGCCACATTAAAATGTTTAATACTTTTCAAAGTAAATGAAACAGTATAAAAGAAGGAATCAGCTAGAATTAATCATTTGGCTGGTTAAAAACAAACAAACAACCCAAATGCATCAGCTACCCGTATATTCTTGTGTAGCATCCAGTGGATCAATCCAGACAGTAACACTTTCTGCTGGAACTTCTCTAGGTTCTATCTTTTTCTTTATGTCTTCAGGAATACTGCGATCCCAGATGACCGTCTCCAGGTTAGCTGTCTCAATGTGTTCTTCAGAGTTGATCTGTGTTAAGAATAACATAAAACAGATGTAGTCAAGCACTGTGGTACTGGGATGATCAAATACTTGTTTATACAGCAGAAGTTTTTTCCTATTTCGTCCAAACTAGTGTAGAAATAAGCATAATTTTATGAGCCAGGCAATGAAAAAATACCTCCCAACCTTCAGGGATTACAATGTCACTCAAACTATTCAAATGTAACAAAATGACCAAAACAAAATTCTCAGGTTTTGCTGAGATAAGCAACATTTATCTGCAAACACATGAATGACAGATCTTATAATATTAAGGACATTTTCTACCATGTGAAATAGATATACCACTGTTATGCTTACAGTCTTTATTTCAAAATTCTACCATGAGTGAGCCACTGTGCATGTTAGGGATTATCATTTAACTGAAAGGAATTTAAAGTAATACACTAGATCAGTTGCTAGATGGAGATGTAACAACTGCTACCTAAATAAGTTGTGAGAAGGGCTAAGGAAATGATACTTCCTCTCTACTCAGCATTGGTGACACCCCAGCTGGTGTACTGTGTCCAGTTCTGGGCACTGCATTTCAAAAAATACGTGGAGAATCTTGAAAGGGTCCAGAGAAGGGCCACAAGAAAGTTTAAGAGCCTGGAGGACAAACCTTACATGGAAAGACTAAGAGATCTTGGACTGTTCAGCCTGGGGAAGAGAAAACCGAGGTGGGACTTGGTAGCCATCTGTAAGTATGTAAGGGGTGAATATTGGGAGCTGGGAAAAAGACTGTTCACTAGGGCACCCCATGGGAGGACAAGGAGCAATGTCCATAAACTGTTAAAGGATCGTTTCAGGTTGGATGCAAGGAAGAAACTATTTATGGTAACAGTGATCAAAATTTGGAATAGACTTCCCAAGGAGGTGGTGCAATCCCCAACCTTGGAAGTCTTTAAGAGGAGAATGAACAGACACTTTGGGGGGATCATTTGATCTCAGCAGTATTCCTGCCCAGAGCAGCAGGGTTGGACTTGATGATCTTTCAAGGGCCCTTCCAGCCCTTAATTTCTATGATTCTATGATACTTGGATTATCAAATTTCCATTTCCATTTACTGAACATAGTTTTATTTGGCAGGAAAAAATGAACAAATAGCCCAGTCCTACTGAAATGAGAAGCATTCTCCAAATTCCAGTATAGATGAGAACTCTGAGTGACCTCAACTTGTTCAATGATACTGAGAGTGACCAAACTTGACCAACTTGGTCATCACTTTCTAAGAGTTAGGCACACATAGGAAGAGAAAGCATTTTTCCCTAAAGAGATATGTACAGAGACTAAGAGTTGCAATATGCCACAGCAATCAAAATCACATGGCAATTCAGATTAAGTTGAAGTATTTTATTCTGGGACCTCACAAGTAAAGCACCTCTACCTAAATGATGTCAGTTATTGCTGAATTATAGAATGTTTATAATAATGGATTCTTACTCATTCCACATTTCACTGCACAAATTTATGGATACAAATAATGAGAAAATAAGAGATTGGTAAGAAAGGAAAAAAGCAACCATTATTCCCATCAGTGGCCTTTGGGTAAGAGTTGTGATGCAACGGGAGACAAGTACTAATGACACACTTCAACATTTTCTTTTCACAAATGATGTTGTCAACCCTACATTTTATATAATTTCTTAATCTAGGCCAAAGATAGCAAGACATTTAGAACTTATAAATGAATCATCAGCTGTAACTGGTCATCATGTAAAAAAAAAACCTGTAGTGGCTGTTCACATAATGATTCATAAAGAAAAATATGGAAATACAATGATTGAAAAACCATATGTTGTCTCAGTCACTTGATGTAAAACTAATGCTTAGTGTTCTGTAGTGCTGTTTCCCAAGCATACAGAATCTCAGTCTCTGGGGAGGGGGAAAGGGGGGAAAAAAAAAAAAAAAAAAAATCAAACATCTGGTACTATACAATAAACTTTTCAGGAAGAATATTGCTGGGGGTGGGAAAATTAAAAATCTGATTACTCAAAAAAGGCAACACAAGTAATCTATACATTTTACAACAGAACAAAACAGGAGCCTGTAGAAAAATTTTGTTTTCCCTTCAGAATAGAAAATATTTCCATTTAGCAGGAATCATCCATCAATTTAGAATAGTGCTTTTGTTTAATATCTTTGCAACATGATATAATAATTAATGGCTAACCCTAGCTGAAAGCAATCACTTTCAGAATCTGGGGAAAAGGGTACCTATCAAATCAACGGTGTGTGGCAGGATGTGATGGGCACCATTTCTAGCATTTGTGACATTTATGCAACACAAAAATGCTCCATGGAAATCTGTCGTACACCAGCATAATGCTCTGTATCAGATTTGCAGATCTACATGTATTGGTTGTTTCTGGTGGATAACCATCCAACTCTAATTGGATAAGCCTTTAAAGACATTTTTACATATGCAAGTGCCGTAGCACCCGGTGCTTTGACAAGCACCCCATGCTGCGACACTTGCAGTTGTATAAGTGGTGAAATGCATGTCGGTGCAAAGAAAATGGCGGCAGTGTGCTTTTGAACTAAAACACCTCAGAAGTGCTTTAGTGCAAGAGCACACTGCTGCTATTTTCTCCATGGTGACACACATTTCACTGCTTATACAACTGCAAGTAGCGCAGCGTGGTGCACATTGGCTCCCATGCAGAGCAGGCTTGATTAATCGCTTGAACTAAAGCTCATTGAATGAGCTTTAGTTCAAGTGCTGCTGCCACAGGTTTTGAGCACGGGGATGCTTTTAAGCAGAGCAGAACTGAGTGGGGTGAGGGCGGATGTGAGCTGCCCACTGTGAGCTTGGGCCTCTCTGCTCTGCTGCCTTTGCCCCAGGAGCCTGCGCCAGCTGCGTGCCCCTGCCCACCCAGCAGCAGGGGCAAAACGCGCTACTCCCACTACTCCCAGGTGGGCAAGGGGTGTGCAGCTGGTGCAGGGCTCCTGAGGTACAGGCACCAGAGCAGAGAGCCCTAAGCCCACAGCAAGCAGCCTGCATCCATCCTGTGCATAAATCTGGGAGAGCACATGCCCCCCATGCGGAGGCATGTGCCCCCATAGCCTCTCCTGGGCGGTGCACGCAGCGGCAGAGAGCTGTCCCCGCCACATCCCCTGGATGAGCCACCCATTGCTCTGTCTCACTCCCTGCCCCAGGTCCCATGCACTACCCTGGCTGGGCACCACCCCCAGCCCCACTCCCTCCGTCACTGTGGGGGCCTCCATCTGCTCCCCACCGAGTGTGTTCCCTTCTATAGACTTATCTGCAGGGAGCTGCTCTCCAAGCTGCCTGGCTGTACTCCTGGCCATGCATATGCATGCCAGCTGTGTCTCGCTCCCAGCAGCCCCAAGCAGGACCCCTTGCAGGCTAGAATGCTGCCTGCCTGCAGGAGGAAACCCACCATTTCCCAAGGGATGCTAGGCATCTGGGGACCCCAGGCCTGAGAGCAGGAGAGAACCCAGGCATGCAGGGGCCCCGGCCAAAAGGCATAATTAATTATAGTTATCGAAGAACATAATCAGCTACAGCAGCCAAAAAAGCCATTAGCCTACAATGTAAATTTCCTGTTTATCAGTGCCAATCCGATATCCAACTGATATATCAGCACATGTCTAATTAACAGAGAAAACACAGAAACTTTCTGAGACAATTTTTGGCTATACCTGATGGGCTGTCACAGATTTTTAATTATCCTTCTAACTCGCAAGCATTTTAAGGCACAATCCAGGAAATTCTATATTCACTGATAAGCAGATACAAAATTTCCCGTCACCAATACAGAGAACAAGATTGCAGAGATATCCCCACATAACGTGGCCAAACTGCCATTTACTTAGTAAACATGGTCTGCCCTTCCTCTTTTATCCCTATGCTTTACTTTTTATAAAAGCCTCTATAGGCTGTATTTTTTTTCTTTTAAAAAGTCTCCAAACAGTAATGCTGGCATGCATTACTCAAAACAGCATCTATTCAGGATGCTGGACAGACTACTACTGAAAGACTACCAATTATCTTCCTGCATAAATCAGGCAACCTAACTACACCATGCAAGCTTAGAATGACTTAAAAATGAGTTAGTGGCCTATCTAATCTCACAATGAATTAAAGAAAATTATTCACGAAAGCTCAGAACAGAAGGTTCAGTGGAAACATCTGGACTAGAACAGCTGTGTGTTCTACCCAACAGAAGCACTCCCAGGCATTAAAAAAAATAGTTCTTTATATTGAAGACATTCTTGTTCGTAGTTTGCTAGTAAGAGATAAATCTAAGATTGCTCAGGAACAAGAGATGCAAGTCATAAACTTACTAAAAAGAAAAAAAAATTATGTGGATAAATCCAGCGATCTGAACAAACAAGTCACAGTCCAGTCTGCATAAAGAATTAGAAGATTCTCACAGTGGTTCATTATCTGGTGCTGAGCTATTCCTCAACTGCACTTTATGAAGTCTTTGTAGCATCATATCACTCTACAAACAGGCTTGCTTACTAGTTAGTATTGGTGACAAGGAAAAATAGTCAATATTCATTTACTCTACTTTTGGAAAGGGTAGAGTAGAGGTGTAGTTTTGCCTCTGTGTCTGCCAAATGAAAGAGAATTAACCTTAATATTTAAGCTAAAAAGGTTTCTGACTAGTCAGATACTTTTGGTAGCTTTTTAAGAGTTTTTAAAATGTTTCAGAAACAGCAAATGTGGGAACTGGAAATGCAAAATTGAGGGAAAGAATTGACTTCTCATTCAAAATCCAGTTAACCTATACTATGCTAAACATTTAGAGAAAGAGGGTAAGGAATCAAACCAGAAATAGTGAGATTTCCCCAATAGTAAAAATTAATTTATTCAGATACTATCCATTTGTAATATAAAGAGAGCCTGTACCAATTAATAGAGACCTACTTAATTTACACAATTTTGCGGGAACTGAAAAATCCAGGATTTTTCACAGAATCCACAAAATCAACAACAAAAAACCCTTAATAAATAT